TGCCGAGTCAGCAATTCAACCCAATACAAGCTATATGTTTCACAGTTAAGGTTGCTATATGAGCAATGTCCTGTTCCAAAGCCTCCTGCATAAAACTGCCCATAGAACATACCAGTTTCTAAAATAAAAAGAGGCTATGTTGTACAAATAACTGTAGACCTGTAACTAAGAAAACTATCTGATGCTGAAACATTGAGCTTCGAAGAAAGAAAAATCTTCAAGATCCATCAAAGCCTTGCATATCTAACTTTTACCCTCTCAGCATGGATCAGCAGAACACCCTTTTTTGATGTGAATGGGAACTTTTTTTAAACATTAATTGCCCTACATACGTCAGCAGTGCAGGCTTGGTAGTCTTCAAAAAAGTATCTGGAAGTGTCACAACCTATAGCGTACTTTTTAGTAGGAATAAAGAGGATATTTTCTCTAACAGGAAGTTACTGCAGGAAAGAAAAAGACAGTTTTTGCTCTATCCCCACCTTATGGCTAGAAAAAGAATTTTCCTATTACAGTATACATATTTCTGAATTTTTCTCCTTTAGTGCATCACTACAGCCAGAAAATATTTCCTATTTGTGTTATGCAACTTAAGATTCTTTTTTAGCAACCGTGCATTCCTCCACATACAAGCACATGAAACTCTGAGGCGTAAATGCCCTCTCTAGCACCTGTGTTGATTTTCTGAATCAAAACAGCAGACTTAATGATCCAACATAACTTTAGATTCAAATAGAACAGTGATTATTTCGTCCCTGACCCAGAAAAGTATACAAGTTCTTATATTTCTGTTGACTCCATTAGCAGTTAAACAGCTAGATCTCTCCATAGCTCTAACTTTCACTGGTACACCATTCTTAATAGTCACACTTTTTGTAATAGTTTTAAACCTAATAATCAGGTGATTTATACCAGTCAGAAAATATTAAACTTACATGCCCTACAAATTAAAATAAAAGTATGCATGAATCTAGTTTTAAAGCTTTCACAACTATCTTCGCTTATCTCCCAAGCAAAATGATGTGACCATGAGAGCTAGAATAGTGCGTACTCCTCACAAGACCTCCTCAAGTTGGCAAACAGCAGATCCTCTTTCATCAGTCACTCCACACGAGATGCAACAAAAGCAGCAGCAGCATTGCCCCACAAAGGAAAACACTCTCTTCCCTCAGTCACCTGCTCATCAATAAACATTTTTCTTCTTCTTTTGTGCCTTAATCGCTTGTGATACCACTCACTGGCCCAGGGACTAACATTAGCTACGTGAAAAGCTGAAAAACAAGACAAGGGCCACCAGAAGTACTTTTGCCAAATTCTTCTGTTTCTTCATTTGGACTTTTCCCTCTTTCATTGATGGTCATAGTGAAAGGGCGGGGTAGGACATGAAATAGAACAATACTGGGAAAGCTGCAAAAAGAAGAAAGAGAATGGAAAAAATGGATAATGTCTTAGTGTGCCTTTAATTTTTTGGGCCTTCTATTCTGCTTTCCTGAGGAAATGAAGAGTCATAATTGTATTGTCTGAGCACCTCTCCTTCCCAAAATCTCTTGAATCTTACCTTTAAAACCGGAGGAAATTCAATAGCAAGTCAATAGTCTCAATCGTTTCTGAACGCTAAATTTCTCAAGGTTTCATGAAAACAGTTGAGACACCTTATTAATGCATCAGCACAACTCTTCCCTCAATAATCCTTGCCTTTTTCCTCCTAAGAGCAGAGGATCAACACAGGAATTCAAGTAACAGAACACAACTTCGTTAGGCCTTCTACCACAGATCTAGTTTAAAAAGACATTTTCTAGAACTACGTGCTTTGATGTTTTGTCATTAAATAGAGATTCAATAACAGAAAACAGATTATTAGTATATCCTCCAAGGTTATATTAATTGGAAGCGTTCATAGGTATTTAGACAACACTGCTGTAAGAAGTTTTGATTTTAAAAATCCAGTAAGGAGTACTGGGTAGAGAAGAGATCCTATGTATATACATGAAGTACAGAAGAGCTGCCAAATATGAATATAATTAACCTTATGGTGAACGTTCAAGAAGACGACACTAGAAAAACATAACAGCGTTGTATATTTCTGAATGCTTAACCACACTACATCAACCACATTAATTTTCCGTAAGCATTTATTTAAAGTTTAAGAGAGAAACCTGAATACCTGCCAAGCTATTCAAGTCTTCTGAATAGCTGCCTGCTTCAGCTATTATGAAACGTTCACAGAGTACTGGCAATCTAGTGACAGGACACATTCTGGCTCAAACTTCTCAGTGCTTACAGAAAAAAGTCCCTCTCATAAAAAAAAAGGCACCTTCTTAACCATGAATACAGGCCAAAAACACTGTATAAGATATTAAAAAAGTACATTGCTGGCTCGTTTTAGCCCTTCCTTGCCTCCCTTTCCCCATGGTAGCTCATTGTCCATCTACTACATGATAATGAGAAGATTCCACTAAGCTCAGAGGGGATCTTGCTCCTAAGCAAACCAAAAAAGAAGTAGTTAAAGCGTACATCAAAACAAGTTCAAAAGAAGGTACAGCACTTAAACTGTACATCGAGGAAAGGTATGTGGTTATACAAGACTGTAAGAAAGTATTTCAGGGAAAAATTAAGAGAAAACATTTCTAACAAAGAAAAATCTAGTGTTCCAATAAAATTGTTAAATCACAGACAGTTATTAAAAAGAAAAATACAAATACCTAGTCAGATCTCCCTTATTCCTGAGAATGTACTTCAGATTATTAAGTCCAAATATCCTCTACACATGTATGTTCTCAGCTTTCTTTGCTGATTCCAAGGCAGTAAGAGAAGAAAATGCAGAATAAGGAATCTAGTAAACCTTACAAGAAGCAGACTGAACTAAGCCCTGTGAGTTAAGTAAAGCAGAAGAGTCATCCTTCCTTTCTGCATACTGTGAAAGGATGACTTTTCACAGGTTGTCCAGGATTTTGAAAAGTACGTGGACATGATATGAAATTTGAAGTTCTGGCATTGCTCCAGTTTCCTTAGACTATGAAATATTTATAAAATACAACTCTTTTTTTCTGAGTTTCTAGAATATACTCAGTAACGAGTTAAACAAAATTAGACTACTCAATACATAATGTTTTTGAAAATACTTTATTTTAAGAATAGCTCACTGTGCATATGAAGGATCAGCTACCACACATTCTACAAAACTGCATTATCAGCTCCAACTGTGAAATTCAACTATATCTTTATTAAAAGATTTATTAAGCAAAGTGTTCAGCAACTGTTTAAAAATATCAATTAGGAATAGAACATTTTAATTTAAAAAGATATTTTTATATGATGTACATTTCCAGACTCCTGACAAGTTAGGATGACACTCAAAAGGGGGGAGGAAGTAACTTGGCACTCATGCCAACTTATCTTAACTATTTGTACAGGATCCAACTTCAAAAACATCAGCTGTGCCAGATCTTTTCCATAATGTGCATCTGTCCACACCAACTGAATTAGAGACCACCAACTTGTCTCATACACCACATGAAACAATATGCCAGCTTAACAGTTCAGAGCATGATTTAGAAATACAAAATATGTATTCTTTCCCCAGAGCACAGAAGTTTTAGCCTACTTTTCAAAGTAATTTTAAAAATATGAAGACATTTATAAATAAATTTAAGCCAAGATATTTAATATGCTAGTTTCTATAAAGATTGTTTTGAAAGCCAAGATTTTGTTTAGCTAGTAAATCTGCTTTGAACTGCATAATGTATAATGGATTTAGTGAAACCTGCATTTTTATTACTACTCTCCTTTAAAAGTTTCACACTTCTAATAATAAATGACACATCATACCTGAAGAGTAACTATGGTATAGGCATTCCTCCATTATTATGGAAGAAAAAAGGTACATCAAACATCTTAAATGACAAGTGACACACATTTTAAAATTATGCATGAAGTGTACGAAAATATACATTGTAAGTTTCTTATTTTTTTTTAAGGAAACAGCAAAATACTCAGTCAGGAGATAGACATCAGTGAAACTAAATACTTCCACAAGTGCAAAAGCTGGCTCACAGGACCGCACGTTAGTAAGAAAACACAGAAAAACACGCTTTGAAATTCCAGTGGTCTGTTTTCTAGCCTCTGCTTTTCTTTAAAATAACCTGCAAAAAGAAAAAAGTATATTTATCACTGCTTTTATCACTACAATCCAGGCAGCAGGAAGAGATCCAAAACACTAGGCTACTCAGACCAAAGGTTCACCCAGCCAAACAATCTGCTTCCAAGAGTAGAGTCACCAAGGGTAAAAGTCTAGGGAAAATGTTAGAAATAAAGTAAAAGCATGCAGAAAAATGCCATATCAGAAAGTTTTTTTTTTTTAAATAAGAACATTCATAACCAAGAATTCTGTAAAATAAAAGGCTTATTTTAAAAATGAATGCCTGGAAATAGCAATAATGCTCTCAAGCCCTCAGCAGGGCTTGAACCCCGTTAGGCCCAGACAAAAAGAAAAAAAAATAAGATTTGCAACTATACAGCTACTATGCTCAATTTTTGTTTGTAATGCCTTATTTCTTTCTATATCAAGAGTGCCCAGACCCTTGGAAGGACATTTTTTGGTTTGGAGTTTAAGTTGAAAAATGAACTTCAAAGCCCAAGTGGGACCATTTAAGTGTTAACATTATTAAAATACAGGCAGTTTTTCCTTTCTTCTCATCTTAAAAAAAATAAATGGAGCACAAAAATGTTCAAATAATGTTAAGATTGCAGTTAAAAAGAAATTACAAATGCATAAGATTCCAACTGTAACATTCACTTGGCTACCCTACACATCCTGTATGTATTTCTGTTACTATAGTAATAGAAAGTATCAAACTAAACATTTCACCAGAGGAAGAAAAAAATACTGAAGATAAACAGAAGCCACAGGACCCAAATATCAGATAAGACTGAGTTTTGTTCTTCCAGTTCGCCCAGCAGTAGTAGGTAGTTGAACAGATAACAAATTAAAGAGACCGAGTTCCCTCATGAAACCTAGGTAAAGCAGACCTATCCTAGCAAGTGAAATGAGCTACAGAATACAAAAGGATTTCAGTCATACTTTGACACTACTCTAATTCTTTCCAGAGAAAGCTGC